TTCAGGGTTCGTACCAAGAAAACGTTTCGCTATTTTCTTGGATCAATCGCACCAGTAAACTCGAGGGAACAGAGCCATTCTTCTTCTTCTTCTTCTTCTTCTTTGACCTCGTCTTGTTTGCACCGCCGAATCGACAAATGCCACTAAACGTCGCTCGCATTTTCCGCTAACGAAGACGCACGAAGAAAGTGACTGGGAAGACAAATCGCCGGAAACTCTGGGGAAAAATGCCTCTCGGTTCGAGCATCGCGGATGCTTACTCCGGTAATGGAGCTCCGGTTCTAGGAACGGAATAAAAGTGAACGATAAATTTACGTAATCGGGCGCGAATAAATCGGAATTTCAGCAAAATATCGATTAAAAAAGGAGTGTGTACGCGAGAGACTAGAAGCGGCAAAGGCATCGCGTTAATCGAATCTTGATCGTGTCGGTGGGAAAACTCGACGATGGTTGAAAAGCTGCTGATTGACGCGAGCACGAAACGGCAATCACCGACTAATGCATCGCGTCGCGTTACCTCGCCACGGGAGAATCAATTTCGTCGTTCCATTCTACGTGAACCTTATCGTCGATTTACTCGTCCACGAACGATGCATCGAGAGAGAATTTCTAATAAGGCGAGCCTTAATAGACGCCGAACTATCCAGCAACGTATAATCGGTCCTTTAAGCGCCGCGAGATCGAGTTCGTCGAGACGACTCGTGGCACAAAGCCGCAATTACAAACGTATTAGCTCATGGTTCGCGGAACGGTTCTTTGCGCCGATCCGATCGGGTTCCTGGTTGTCTACGCGCGTTACGAGACAAGAATTCATAAAGCGCGGTCGCGCGATTAATTCGACGACGCAGATGCGTGCGTGCGTGCTTTCTTCCGGTTACGCGGACAAGGACGTGCCGATTCCGTTCAAGAGTCACGAAATTAATCGGGAGGAGCATGGTTCCTGGGGTTAGCCGTTGAAATAAATTTCAGCTATGACGACAGACGTCTCGAGAACGGAGCTGGAAAACGTAAATCGGTGGGAACGTGTTAAGATCGTTGCCAGGGAATTCCGAATACATATATGTATACGTGTATAGCTAATAGCGTGTTCTGGCTTTCCTCGCTTAGGCAGTCGCGTAAGTAGCTGTCGGAATGTCGGCGTAGGCGTTCCGGAAGTACAAGTAACGAGCGATAGCACGATGCCACGGGGTACGACGGTGCAAGCGAATAAGTGGTTGCTGCGAGATAAACCACCTTTCCAGATTGCTGCCCAGCGCAAACTAATTAACGGAGAACCACCACCCTTTGCTTGCCAACGTAAAGCGACCTTACACGTTACGCTCTCCATTCGTGACAACCACTTTGGACATCGAACACGAACCTTGTTCTTCCATTTAAGCCCTCGCTGCGGTCATTTCTTTCCACCGTGAAATTTTAAACAAAACGATTCTATGCACGAACAAGTACTTGGAATTAGTTGTTTAGAAATTCAAAGAGGATAGAACGATGGAATGTATTCGACGAGCTCGAGAAAAAATCCACGTCGTCGCATATGTATCGCATATTAATAATTTTATTAATCGTATTCCAAGTAACGTATCGATCGTACGAGCTCGATAGTTTCGCGTTGAACGTTGCCTACAGAGAGACAGAAAGTCGACGAAATAGAAACGAACGGAGCCTCTCGCGACTGTAGGATCTGGTTCGAGAGGAGGGCAAACGCCGCGCCGCGCCGCGCCGCCGCGCGTCCTTCTTTCGATAACGGGTAAAGGTATATCGCGTCGATTCCCTGCGTTACCGCGCCAAATCCCGGCAGCTACGCGTAATGCCAGCATTATGTAAATCGCGCGGCCAACCGCTTTGTAATTACACTCTTAACCCCTTTAACCGGTACTTTTCGTTCGATAAATGACTCCCCAGCTGCGCTCGATTACGTTACACGTACTTACGTCCGATCTCCTGGGTGAAATTCGTTCGAAAGGATCGTGCGAAATACTCGATCCGCGAATTTCTTTCCTGTTCGAAAGGCACTCTTAGAAACGGAACAATTTGCTTGCCGCGAAACAAAATAATCATCGTTCAGCTTGTAATTTAGAGCCGATCGAACACCTGCGCGAGACAAGTTCTTCGCCTTCCGACGAATTAGATCGGAAATCCAGATCTAACCCTAATAATCCAACCGGAGCCCAAGTTTCCTTCCTCTTTGGATGAATTTGGCCGGGGATATTAATACCTTTAGGAACGCAATTAGTTTTGCGGCGGGGCAGAGGAGCGAGGGATCGAGTCTGATCGGTTCCGTTGGTCCGTTTCCGCCAAAGGACGAAAGACGATGGCAGCATTGGTCGGTGAAAAGGGAGGATTATCGAAACGGCACTGTGCGCACCCCGGCTGTTTCAACGTTGCTCTGTTCTCGCTTAACTTAGTTTCCGGCCGTGTCGAACAGATCCCAAATACGATTAGCAGAGACTCCACGAAACTTGACGCGCTTACGAATCCCGTCAGGAGGGCGTTATATTTGGTTACGCCGCGCCGCGCCGCGCGTTCGTCGGATCTGCTCGGGGAAAATAAACTTTACACGGCGAGCCGGTCAAATTTTATGCCTCTGTTTCCCATACCTTCTAAACGCGGTTTTCTACAACCGACGCGCGACGTTTCGTACACGTATTTCAAATAGATCAAATAGAGCCCAATATTGTATGTATACAAAAATATAAACATGTACGTCAAAGGTACCGATTCTGGCTGGCATCCATCCATTAATTTCTTCGCGTGTTTTAACTCTGTCGACGAACGCCGCTTGAAACTTGATACCAAATTCTGGTTAGCTTCCGATGTAAATAGGAAACAATATGTATGTATAGCAAAGACGAAAGGAGAGAATCTTCAGTCTCCACTGCCTTGGAACAGTCCAACAACGCGTATAAAAATAGTGAAACTTTAGACGCGTGCAGTTCCGAAACTACTAGTGTTCTATCCGTAATCGAACCACTGCTAGAAGCGGGGAGGCTTCCCCTTTAAAATGGCTTTTGGTTTTTGTCGATCCGACTTTCCGTTTCCGAGATATCGTAATTTATGTAAAAGGTAATTTCGCTGTCTCTTGCTTCCCGTCTTAGAAAAGGCTATTAACGCGAATTAAAAATGCTAAAAGTTTAGACGCGTGCAGTTCCGAAACTACTAGTGTTTTGTGCATAATTGAGCCATCGTTGGAAGCGGTAAACCTTCCCCTTTAAAATGGTTTTTGGTTTTTGTCGATCGGACTTTCCGTTTCGGAGATATCGTAATTTATGTAAATGGCAATTTTTTTATCTCTGTCTTCGTCTGACGCGTCGCGTCGGACCTCTTTGTCTTACGCGCGTGGTGCTGACCTAGCCCGCGTACGTGACTGTCGTGACCCAGTTTCGGCGTAGTATTTCCAAGAATTTACTACGCAATGTTTACTATCTACGCGCGCGAGATCAATGAACTCGCGCGAGCGCAACTACGAAACGTAAACAAACCCTATCTCCGAAACTAGCCATCGCATCGAGTTGAAATTAAAATCGCTATATCTCCGGAACTAATGAAGCTATCTACTCGTACAAACGCTCATTTTAAAGGGCATTTAATCCTCTATCCTATGAACGTAACAACTATTATAATTTAGGCTATCTTCTATGTTTATTTTAACATTTACTTTGACGCTACATACCCAAAATAGTTTCAATACTTCTTATCGGTCATACGACTAGTGTACGATAAAACTGGACCATAAATTGTTTATTTAATTGAAAATTAATTTAAATGCAGGATGTTTGCGTAATTACTAGCAAGTACTTTTTCTTGAATAGTTGTTTTCTCTAGAACTAACTACGGTATCGACTTGGAATAAAATTCCTTTTCAAGGGCATTTTATCTGCTATCCGATGGAAATTAAAAAATATTTTTTAAGATGAAAGAGAAGGATATCTTGCGAATAAACGTCAAAACATAACTTTTTATACGTATAATGGAAAAATTTAAAGTACGTTGCCTCGTAAAAGAGTCTAACCTCGTCAAGTGCTTATAGGTTTAATGTTAAACAACGATTGAATTTTGATTGTCAAATTCGTTGGTTGGGGATATCTTTTTGTCGAAGGCAGAGCGTTGTACGGAACAACGCGTTCGCATAACGATTATGTGGTCTGCAGCGACTGCCATTCCTGGTAACGCGCCGCGGACGTCCAATGTCGGATGTCCGGACATCACGTAGACGGCTGCACGCGCGCTTACAAGCATTACTCCGGTCAATGTACGTCTATCGTCTAACGTCCTATCAATTTCCTCGCGAGTCCATCCACTTCCGCGTAACTTTCAAATCAATAACGCACGGCTCGACTTTTTGACTTATCAACAGCGACGCGAAACATTTTAAACTCGACTAGACACTCGGAGACGAAGCAACGATAAAAATAGTTGTTTGCTTAATAAGTATTTGTACGAGGATATTCTCCCAATCTTTAAATAAAACGATCTGGTAGCCAGGTGGTAGGAAAGTAAGGCGATCTTAACATGAATATATAAATTAAATATAATGCAAAACAAGGGGAACAATCTGTAGAATAGCAGCAGAGGAACGAAATAATAGGTACTGTGGGGTGGGTAATTGCTAAGTGAAACGTCTCGGATCGAGCACGGACTACGTGCAGCGCTCAATTAAAAATGGTCTCCTAGGAAATGGGGGAGAGAACGAGAGAGAATACGATAGAAAACGCTTCCCGTTGCCTTTCTTCTCTTTTATGAATTTCGATGCACAAAGAAACGTTCAGCTCCATTCTTCTGCAATTATTAAAGTTCTACCTTATATCGGAACTCTCTGCGAAAGAACCTGAAAAGAACTGCTGCTACATCCTAGCTCTAAAGTTCACGCGACCCGATTCCATAATCATTTATACGTTTCCTATTAAATAAAAAAGCATTAAGGAAATAATTTCGCTTTCAAGTCCTCGTTTTAAATACCTATAACGTATCGCTCGAATCTAGCAAAAATTGGGTGTTCAATTTACCGGTAATTCGTCGATCGTGTATCTTTTGTGGCACGAGTTCTGAAACAGAAAAGAAAAGAGCCTTTCGTTAATCTTTCGAGAAGAGAACGCTCGCATCTGGTTAGCTGTCTTGCAAACACGACGAGAGGAGCTACTATGTACCTTTTGCGAATCAAAGTCTGCACCGTCGATACGAGAGTAAGCATCGAAACGTTTTTGTCGTCTTGAATTAGAAGCGAGGGTAGGCCACGAGGAGGCAGGGTCGTGAAATTGTTGTCAAAGGTACGGTGTTATCGTAATTCGTTCGAAATGTAAATTTAAAGGGTGCTTCGTCGACGACTATTTACATAGCAAAGTGCATCGCAACGATCAATTTGGTCACGTTGGTCTTCGTAGACTATCGGAGTAAAGTGGAAAAAGTAACGAGCCATCGAGCATCGAATACGTCTATGCGTTCGAATTTCTAGACAAAGCGATAACTTACAGAGAGGGTAAGCACGCTGTCTGAATATTAATGCTAGGGTTTTGCGTGGATGTATAGGCGAGGAGGTGGTTCCGAGCGACGCACCCGCAGAGCTTTTATGGAGTCTATCGGTCCACGACCATACATACATCGCCGACTGCTATCCGTCGTAGCTGATCGAACAGGAAGGCAAACGGGGAAGCGCGTAGCGGAAGATCCGGGCTCGCGGTAGTTGTATTTCACTCGATTCCCGAGGGTGGGGCATTAGTCGCCATTGGGTGAGCGAACAATTACAGAGGACGGATTTGCATGAAAGTGGACAAACTTTTCACTCCGCGCGACGGCATTCTCTGCCGCGATTCGGGAAATTTCAACGATCGACCCGTGTGCGTATTTGAATATGAAGCGTCGGCAAATTTTTTTCGACGCGTTAACGATCGACGTCGACAGACAGCAAAGAGATCTTTCGCTTCGAAACGGGGAACGAGCACGATTGGAATTATTCCAACATTTACCCACTGTTTTCACGGACGATGGTCCGATCTACGATCGGTAAATTTTTGAAAATTAAAGCGCGAGCCAGCGGCCGCAACTTAACTCGCTGCAGGGTAATACGGTGACTCTTATATTTTTGGCGATGGTCCAACCAGTTCCATCGCGATAACGTCCCACCGATGCAACTTTATGCCGACGCTTCATCAAAAATCGCATTTAAGGACAAAGCAGATGCGGTTTTTTCCAGCCCGTATGCAATCCCACGGAGAAATCGAGTCACGCGATTTATGCATCGCGCGGTCAAAAAATGTGTACCGCGAGACTTGCGATTGCCAGTCATTCTGGCTATTATGCATACATAGTCGTGGACGGGAACCGAAACTCCACCCTTCTATCGCTTTCCATGTACATAATAAGTCTTCGCACAGACGGATAATACAACCAGGTTTCCCAGTGAAATTAACCCATCCCACCGTTTGTTATAAATATTCATAAGGACTCGAAAGCCCGGAACGACGAAACAGTTGTAAAAAGAAGAAAATAACGGACGGACGAAATATACGCGCGCAACTCTAAACGAGAAAGGAACGGTGCTTAAATTACCGATTTTTCTTTTTCTACTTTGGGCCAGACATTTCATCCTACGTTTCGATTTCAACGTTTAAACGGTGCACCGCCGCCGATGGCTGCATTCGAGCGCGTTAATATGCTCGACGAGTCCTTTTCCTTCGTTACAGTCTTTCGTAAGAGCTTTAATTAGACAAGTATCAAAGATATCATCCAACAGATGTTCCCGTTCCTAGGCTTTGTCCTTCAGTTGACTGATTGTCGTCTAGACTTGATGCTCCGGTAGCTAAGCCGTGGATTATTTCGTAGCGACGTAAGTGTACGTGGAAATTCGTTCGGGGAAATTCTATGGGAAGACTGCTCCGAAACGAAATCTCGAGAATACGTACCTCGGAGTCGGGCGAAATACACAGTAACTTCGAAACGGTTTTCGTACGACTTTTCTTTTATGCAAACGACGGGACGCAAGAGTTTTTCGCCGTTGCTCGTTACTCAAGTTCAAGATCGAATTGCGAGATCGGACGACGACGTTTATCGTTTCGAGACTTTCCGCCAACTTTGGTAACGAGTGCGAGCTTCTGCCACGGCCACAAAATATTTCTCAATTTAACGCGAGGTTTGTCGCAGAAATTAATTCTTCAGAAACCGGGCGCGGCGTCTACGATGGCGGAAACACTCCACGTTGATTGTCCGTACGTTTCGCCGCGCAAACTTCCAGACTCTTTTCAACGGTCGCGGTCGGACGAAACTTGGCTGCTCTTCTTACGAATAACGGGGAAACAAAGTTACGAGAATCGGATTTTCGGAAAACCGATGCACGATGCTCGAATTGGCGTACCGGGGAAACTTTTCAAACAGTTTATCCTCGGACGTAATATTTGTTACAGTATCGTGGAATAGTAGTTGCATCGTTTTCGAAACGGAATCTCGGTATAATTGTGATTAAAGAAAATTGAAGCGATCGAACCGTTGGTTTCGAGATACATATTAACGAGGTCTTTCCCCCCGCAAAGGATGCTCGTCGCTCGATGGTGCATCTTTTAATCTCGATCGATTGGATTCTTCGGATAAGACGCGAACCGTCTCGAGTCTTCGTATCGGTTTACAGGACGGTTTTTTTTATTTCTTTGCCTTCGGTGGAGAAAATTCGGGCTTGTAAACGCGTACCTATTTCTCGAATCACCGACACGATAATGCACACGACGCGACGGACGAAGAAACGAGAAGGTGTGCTTTCGTCGCGGCGGTGTTTGCTTTACCCAAAGTCTCCATTTAATCCGGTGCAATCGAAGAGTTTCCCCACCTGCCAGCCATTTCCTATTACTCCCCTTTCCCCTCGTTCCGTCGTCTCGCTCTCATCCATGGTAATCCAGGATAAAATCCCAAAGTGATTGCCTTCCTTTTTCTACGGGCAGAGACGAAAAGAGGCAGACTGGCAGGCAGGCAGGCAGGCAGAAGCTTCCGTCGATACGCGTAGGAGGCGGCTGCTGGAATTGCAAAGTCGCGGACTGCTCTACATCGAGTCTATGCTATGAAAGGAAAGGAAGACATACGCGCGCGTACAAAGAGAGAGGAGAGATTGAAAAGAGGGTGCAGTGGACGACACGTAACTGGTAATCCGTGTCGAAAGGCGAACCAAACCGACCAGAGGATCCTCGCAAATAGCAACGCGCACAATAGTCGTGGAGCGTTCTATAAATGTTTCTTAAAACATAGTACGACCACTTCTTCCGGCTAGATCGCCAAGTTTTCTTATCAATTACCAGCCAAGTAATGCAAGAAACGACAGAACACGATCAACAACATCGTACTTCCCTGTAGCTACGGCAAGAAAATCGGTCTGCACTGTGTTTTTCCTGCGACACGTTCCTCTGCCTGCCAGTCGCGGCACTGAGATAATATAGCTTATTTTCCGAGAACGACGCGGAATTGAGTCTGACGTGAGGCGAAACCAGCTTAATCTCTAGAGGGGAAATTGCATTAGCACCCAAGTACAACAAAGCGAACAAACGTACGAGCAACGAGCCAACGATTTTCGACGCGCCTCGTCGCTCCTTTTCTACCGGAAAACCCTGCTAACGCTAATAACAAACGAGCAGAGGATAACCAGCGGACAAAATTACATGGAATTTTTCCGACAGATACGTTTCAACGAATATACGATATACATATTCTTCGTAACCTGTCAAAATAACTTGGCGTACATCCTCGAGTTTCACGAATTCTGTTTTATCGCGACCACGTGATTCGTTTCCGGTTCTTTTGCCCCGGTCGGTGACAACCGAGCGACAGTTTCTATCGGCTTTTACGATTCGATGAACTCTCTTGGGTGCCTCGTCGATACAGTTTTACGGGATTGTAAGAAACGGGACACGAAATATGTATTTCCTTCGGTGGGATGCTCGTCTAATCGAGTTTATACGCTACCGTTGTTTTCTATACATAGTATATTGATATACATTCGCTAAATCCAATCTTTTCGAATAGATGAAAATCAGATACGTAAATGTTTCAATTTCTTGTAGGCAATAAAATAGACATATTATCCTTACAAGTTCCTTACTATACCTTATTAAATACTCGATCCTTTTTCGTTGTATGAACTCTACCTCGCGAAAAATAATTAGCTCTCTCGTTTAACTTGCAAACAATGCTAATTCCTAGAGCGTGTTGACGGTGATCGCGAGCGGGGCACCGCGATATGCTGCTACGAGGTTGTACTGGAAGCGCCAGGAGGGTAAATGAGCGGGTAAATGCAAACTACGGAACGGGTTGCACGACGCAAGGCTACGGCGATATTTGCTCCTCCGTCTCTCGTTCTCTGCCGCCATGCCTTCCCTCCCGACACGGGAGGTGATTCGTTACGCCAAGGTACCGTACAGATAGACGCGTCATTAACTAACATTCGCTCGACAAAAATTGTTCAAGACAGAGAGTAGCTTTTCCGCCAAACCATCGAAACGACCAGACCCATGCTCGCGAATATCAATCGATACACGAAATAAGGACAAAGGATAATATACAGTGTACGTACGTGTGTACCTAATAGTTAAAAAGGCAAATTGCAAGGTACACGAAAAAAAGAAGAACGGTCGGAAACGGTACAGGTAGGTAGTTGTAATTCGACGACCCTAACAGACTTCTTTATGCAAATTTATGCGCATCGGAGTGCAATTTTATTTAAAGATTGATCGTTCCGACGGAAATTGTCGGGCGTACGATTGCCGGGCGAGATGTTATCGGTGATGAAAATTCAGCGAATTTCATGGGTTCCGGCGATTATCGTTATCTGACTGGCCGCATCCGTACGTTTCGGCTACGTAAAAAGAGGAAACATCGTGCTCGAGCATATTGTACCCTGTGCACGCGTAAACCCTTTTACTACACGACTTCGTAAGAAGAAGCTTGGCCGTCTTTTGCGAGGGATAACGACACGGATTCAATTAGTTTGCGGTTGGCGTCCAAGGCTTCCTTTCTAATTGCAAAACGAATCCTTTTGTTCCGATATACGCATTTACGCGTTGCCTCGCACGAT